CTGAAGAGTGTCATCATGTGCTTGGCATTCCTAGTTTTGAAGGTTCTCATTATCAATCCTGTCATTTTTCTAGCAGATGCTATTGATACAATGTTATGGTCCTTGAAGGTGAGATCCTCCGACATGATCACTCCCAGGTCTTTCACGTTGGTTTTTTGCTTTATTTTGTGGCCGGAATTTGTGTTGTACTCTGATGAAGTTTTAATTCCTCATGTTTACCATGTCGGAGTAATTGAAATTTCTCATCGTTGAACTTCATATTGTTTTCTGCAGCCTATTGAAAGATTTGGTTATGTCCGCCTGGAGCCTTGCAGTGTCTGCAATGGAAGACACTATCATGCAGATTCGGGTGTCATCTGCAAAGAAAGACACGGTGCTGGGGCTGACATCCTTGTCTATGTCAGATATGAGGATGAGAAACAAGATCGGAGCGAGTACTGTGCCTTGTGGAACAGAGCTTTTCACCATAGCCGCCTCAGACTTTACTCTGTTGACTACTACACTTTGTGTTCTGTTTGTGAGGAAATTATAGATCCATCTACCAACTTTTCCTGTTATTCCTTCAGCACTCATTTTGTGCGCTATTACGCCATGGTCACACGTGTCGAAGGCTTTTGCAAAGTCTATATATATTACATCTGCATTCTTTTTGTCTTCTAGTGCATCTAGGACCTTGTCGTAGTGATCCAGTAGTAGGGACACCACAGGAGCGACCTGCTCTAAACCTATGTTGCCCTGGGTTGTGTAATTGATGGGTTTCTAGATGGGTGGCGATCTTGCTTCTTAGAACCCTTTCAAAGATTTTTATGATATGGGATGTTAGTGCTATGGGTCTGTAGTTCTTTGCTATTGCTTTACTGCCCCCTTTGTGGAGTGGGACTATGTCTGTTGTTTTTAGTAACTGTGGGACGACCCCCGTGTCCACGCTCCCTCTCCATGGGATGGTAAAAGCTCGTGATAGGGGCTTCTTGCAGTTCTTGATGAATACGGAGTTCCATGAGTCTGGCCCTGGGGCAGAGTGCATGGGCATGTCATTTATCGCCTGTTCGAAGTCATTTGGCGTCAGGATAACATCAGATAGGCTTATGATAGTTACATTGTGGGAACACCCAGTGTGCTGCTGCTATGAGAGTTACATTGTGGGAACACCAAGTGTGCTCCTGCTATGATAGTTACATTGTGGGAACACCCAGTGTGCTCCTGCTGTGATAGTTACATTGTGGGAACACCCAGTGTGCACCTGCTGTGATAGTTACACAGTGGGAACACCCAGTGTGCTCCTGCTGTGATAGTTACATTGTGGGAACACCCAATGTGCTCCTGATATGATAGTTACATTGTGGGAACACCCAGTGTGCTCCTGCTGTGATAGTTACATTGTGGGAACACCCAGTGTGCTCCTGCTGTGATAGTTACACAGTGGGAACACCCAGTATGCTGCTGCTGTGATAGTTACATTGTGGGAACACCAAGTGTGCTCCTGCTATGACAGTTACATTGTGGAAACACCAAGTGTGCTCCTGCTATGACAGTTACATTGTGGGAACACCAAGTGTGCTCCTGCTATGATAGTTACATTGTGGGAACACCCAGTGTGCTCCTGCTGTGATAGTTACACAGTGGGAACACCCAGTATGCTTCTGCTGTGATAGTTACATTGTGGGAACACCAAGTGTGCTCCTGCTATGACAGTTACATTGTGGGAACACCAAGTGTGCTCCTGCTATGATAGTTACATTGTGGGAACACCAAGTGTGCTCCTGCTATGATAGTTACATTGTGGGAACACCAAGTGTGCTCCTGCTATGATAGTTACATTGTGGGAACACCCAGTGTGCTCCTGCTGTGATAGTTACATTGTGGGAAGACCAGCAGTATTTTGCTACACTATTCTATACAGTGTACTCACCTAATTGTGGTTACAGGGGTCGAGACTCAGCTCCTGGCCCCGCCTCTTCACTGATCGCTACTGGATCCTCTCTCTCTCTGCTTCCTGAGCTTTGTCATACCTCTTCTTAAAACTATGTATGGTTCCTGCCTCCACTACTTCACTTGCTAGGCTATTCCACTTGCTGACAACTCTATGACTGAAGAAATACTTCCTAACGTCCCTGTGACTCGTCTGAGTCTTCAGCTTCCAGTTGTGACCCCTTGTCCCTGTGTCCCTTCTCTGGAACATCCTATCTCTGTCCACCTTGTCTATTCCCCGCAGTATCTTGTATGTCGTTATCATGTCTCCCCTGACCTTTCTGTCCTCCAGTGTCGTCAGTCCGATTTCCCTTAACCTTTCCTCGTACGACATTTCCTTGAGCTCTGGGACTAGCCTTGTTGCAAACCTTTGTACTTTCTCTAACTTCTTGACGTGTTTGACCAGGTGAGGGCTCCAGACTGGTGCTGCATACTCCAGTATGGGCCTAACATACATAGTGTACAGTGTCTTGAACGATTCCTTATTAAGGTATCGGAACGCTATTCTCAGGTTTGCCAGGCGCCCGTATGCTGCAGCGGTTATTTGGTTGATGTGTGCCTCCGGTGATGTGCTCGGTGCTATGGTCACCCCAAGGTCTTTCTCCCTGAGTGAGGTCTGTAGTCTTTGTCCACCTAGCCTATACTCTGTCTGCGGTCTTCTTTGCCCCTCCCCAATCTTCATGACTTTGCATTTGGCTGGATTGAATTCGAGAAGTCAGTTGCTGGACCACATGTCCAGCCTGTCCAGGTCTCTTTGCAGTCCTGCCTCATCCTCGTCCGATTTAATTCTTCTCATCAACTTCACGTCATCTGCGAACAGGGACACTTCAGAGTCTATTCCTTCCATCATGTCGTTCACATATATCAAAAATAGCACTGGTCCTAGAACTGACCCCTGTGGGACCCCGCTCGTAACAGGCGCCCACTGTGATACCTCTTCACGTACCATGACTCGTTGCTGCCTCCCTGTCAGGTATTCCCTTATTCATTGCAGTGCCCTCCCTTTTATGTGCGCCTGATCCTCCAGCTTCTGCACTAATCTCTTGTGGGGAACAGTGTCAAAGGCCTTCCTGCAGTCTAGGAAAACGCAATCTACCCACCCCTCTCTCTCGTGTCTTACTTCTGTTACCTTGTCATAAAACTCCAGGAGGTTTGTGATACAAGATTTGCCTTCCATGAACCCATGCTGGTTTTCATTTATAATCTTGTTCCTTTCCAGGTGTTCGACCACTCTCCTCCTGATAATCTTCTCCATGACTTTGCACACAATACATGTCAGAGACACAGGTCTGTAGTTTAGTGCCTCGTTTCTGTTTCCTTTCTTAAATATGGAGACTACATTAGCTGTCTTCCATTTCTCAGGTAGTTGCCCAGTTTCAAGGGATGTGTTGAAGATTGTGGTTAGAGGCACACACAGCATCTCTGCTCCTTCTCTAAGGACCCATGGGGAGATGTTGTCCTGTCCCATCGCCTTTGAGGTGTCAAGGTCACTTAAGAGCTTCTTCACCTCCTCCTCAGTTGTTCGTATGTCATCCAACACTTGTTGGTATATTCCCTCTTGATGTTCCCTTCTGTGCTGTCTTCCCACAGCCCTTCCTGTCTCTACTGTAAAAACTTCCTTAAATCTCCTGTTCAGCTCCTCACATACCTCCTGATCATTTCTTGTGAGTTCTCCACATTCTGTCCTTAATCTGATCACCTGGTCTTTGACTGTTGTCTTCCTCCTGATGTGGCTATACAACAGTTTCGGGTCAGTCTTGATTCTCGATGCTATGTCATTTTCATACTGTCGCTGGGCCTCCCTCCTTACCTGTGCGTACTCATTCCTGGCTCTGCGACTGATCTCCCTATTTTCGTGTGTTCTCTGCCTTCTGTACTTTTTCCATTCTCTATTGCACTTTGTTTTTGCCTCCTTACACCGTCGGGTAAACCAGGGTCTCGTTCTGGTCTTCCCGTTGTTACTGTTGCCCTTGGGAATAAACCTTTCCACTGCCTCTTTGCATTTTGTTGTTACATATTCCATCATTTCATTTACTGGCTTTCCTGCCAGTTCTCTGTCCCACTGGACCTCCCGCAGGAAGTTCTTCAACCCTATGTAGTCCCCTCTTTTATAGTCAGGCTTTTCCCATTCAACTCCTGTTATTCTCTCCACTTGCAGCTCTACTATGTATTCAAAGCACAGAACCACGTGGTCGCTAGCTCCTAGGGGACTCTCATACTTGATGTCCTCAATATCTGAGCTGCCCAGGGTGAACACAAGGTCCAATCTTGCTGGTTCCTCCTCCCCTCTCACTCTGGTAGTGTCCTTAACATGTTGGTGCATGAGGTTTTCCAGCACCACGTCCAACATCCTGGCTCTCCATGTTTCGGGACCCCCATGTGGCTCCAGGTTTTCCCAGTCAATTTCCCTGTGGTTGAAATCCCCCATAACCAGCAACTTTGCTCTGCTGGAGTGAGCTCTTCATACCACCTCAGCAAGTGTGTCCACCATTGCTCTGTTGCTCTCTTCATATTCCTCTCTTGGCCTCCTGCAGTTCTGTGGTGGATTATACATCACTGCAATGGCCACTTTGTGTTCCCCAGACTGAAGTGTACCTGCTATGTAGTCTCTTTCTCCCGTCTCATCTATTCCTTCCATTTTCTCGAATTTCCATCTGTTTTTTACGAGCAGAGCAACCCCACCTCCCCCCCCCTGCCCCTTCTATCTTTCCTCATGATCTGGTATCCTGGTGGGAAGATTGCATCTGTTATTGTCTCCATGAGTTTTGTTTCTGTAACTGCTATGATGTCTGGGGACTTCTCATTGATTCTTTCTTGCCATTCCTCATGTTTATTCGTTAATCCATCTGCATTTGTGTACCAAACCTTCAACTTCTGTTCTAATACTGTAACTGTGGTGCGGGGGGTGGAAACAGAGGGATCGGTGTGTGATGGTTGGTTTGGATTGTTCAGTTGCCTGTGTGTGTGTGTGTGTGTGTGTGTGTGTGTGTGTGTGTGTGTGTGTGTGTGTGTGTGTGTGTGTGACGACCTACCTTGACCTTGTGACCCATCATAGACATCTTGTGCAGTGTGGGCTGCCTGTTGAAAATAATAAGGTCACCGTCCGTGATGTGACGTTCCACCTTATATCCACACTGCAGGTGAAGGTCAGAGGGTTTGGGGTGGTAGCGCAGGTCAATGCGGGCACCGTTGTCTCTCATGATATACTTGGCACCTGGGTACTGGTTGTTGCCTCTCTTCACCAGCTCCATCATCCTGCCCAGTAAGTTTATTTAGGGACAGGTAGATGTAGTTACATAAATTTTCATGCATGGCAGCCAACAGCAGAAATTTGGATATTATAAAAATAATGATAATAAAATATTAATAGCAACAACAATAATAATAGTGAGGTGCGGTAGTGCGATATAGCAGTGAGGTGTGGTTAGTGAGGTGCGACAGTGAGGTGTGGCAGTGAGGTGCGATAGTCATGTGTGGCATGAGGTGCCATAGTGAGGTGCGACAGTGAGGTGCGACAGTGAGGTGTGGCGGATTACAGTACAAGAATACTCAAATTACCTAAAAATAAGGATTAAGTAAACTTTTTGGCATCCATGTATATAAACAGACAAACACATGTCAGTGTATATATACACCGTGACAAACACATGTCACTGCATATATACACCGTGACAAACACATGTCAGTGTATATATACACCGTGACAAACACATGTCACTGCATATATACACCGTGACAAACACATGTCACTGCATATATACACCGTGACAAACACATGTCAGTGTATATATACACCGGGACAAACACATGTCAGTGCATATATACACCGTGACAAAGACATGTCAGTGTATATATACACCGGGACAAACACATGTCACTGCATATATACACCGTGACAAACACATGTCACTGCATATATACACCGTGACAAACACATGTCACTGCATATATACACCGGGACAAACACATGTCACTGCATATATACACCGTGACAAACACATGTCAGTGTATATATACACCGGGACAAACGCATGTCACTGCATATATACACCGTGACAAACACATGTCACTGCATATATACACCGTGACAAACACATGTCACTGCATATATACACCGGGACAAAACACATGTCACTGCATATATACACCGGGACAAACACATGTCACTGCATATATACACCGTGACAAACACATGTCACTGCATATATACACCGTGACAAACACATGTCACTGCATATATACACCGGGACAAACACATGTCACTGCATATATACACCGTGACAAACACATGTCACTGCATATATACACCGTGACAAACACATGTCACTGCATATATACACCGTGACAAACACATATCACTGCATATATACACCGTGACAAACACATGTCAGTGCATATATACACCGTGACAAACACATGTCAGTGCATATATACACCGTGACAAACACATGTCAGTGCATACATACACCGTGACAAACACATGTCAGTGCATATATACACCGTGACAAACACATGTCAGTGCATATATACACCGTGACAAACACATGTCACTGCATATATACACCGTGACAAACACATGTCAGTGCATATATACACCGTGACAAACACATGTCAGTGCATATATACACCGTGACAAACACATGTCAGTGCATACATACACCGTGACAAACACATGTCAGTGCATATATACACCGTGACAAACACATGTCAGTGCATATATACACCGTGACAAACACATGTCAGTGCATATATACACCGTGACAAACACATGTCAGTGCATATATACACCGTGACAAACACATGTCACTGCATATATACACCGTGACAAACACATGTCAGTGCATATATACACCGTGACAAACACATATCACTGCATATATACACCGTGACAAACACATGTCAGTGCATATATACACCGTGACAAACACATGTCACTGCATATATACACCGTGACAAACACATGTCACTGCATATATACACCGTGACAAACACATGTCACTGCATATATACACCAGGACAAACACATGTCACTGCATATATACACCGTGACAAACACATGTCAGTGCATATATACACCGTGACAAACACATGTCAGTGCATATATACACCGGGACAAACACATGTCACTGCATATATACACCGGGACAAACACATGTCAGTGCATATATACACCGGGACAAACACATGTCACTGCATATATACACCGTGACAAACACATGTCACTGCATATATACACCGTGACAAACACATGTCACTGCATATATACACCGGGACAAACACATGTCACTGCATATATACACCGGGACAAACACATGTCAGTGCATATATACACCGTGACAAAGACATGTCAGTGCATATATACACCGGGACAAACACATGTCACTGCATATATACACCGGGACAAACACGTCACTGCATATATACACCGGGACAAACACATGTCAGTGCATATATACACCGTGACAAACACATGTCAGTGCATATATACACCGTGACAAACACATGTCACTGCATATATACACCGGGACAAACACATGTCACTGCATATATACACCGGGACAAACACATGTCACTGCATATATACACCGGGACAAACACATGTCACTGCATATATACACCGTGACAAAGACATGTCAGTGCATATATACACCGGGACAAACACATGTCACTGCATATATACACCGTGACAAAGACATGTCAGTGCATATATACACCGTGACAAAGACATGTCAGTGCATATATACACCGGGACAAACACATGTCACTGCATATATACACCGTGACAAAGACATGTCAGTGCATATATACACCGTGACAAAGACATGTCAGTGCATATATACACCGGGACGAACACATGTCACTGCATATATACACCGTGACAAAGACATGTCAGTGCATATATACACCGTGACAAGACATGTCAGTGCATATATACAAACCCTGACAAAGACATGTCAGTGCATATATACACCGGGACGAACACATGTCACTGCATATATACACCGTGACAAAGACATGTCAGTGCATATATACACCGTGACAAAGACATGTCAGTGCATATATACACCGTGACAAAGACATGTCAGTGCATATATACACCGGGACGAACACATGTCACTGCATATATACACCGTGACAAAGACATGTCAGTGCATATATACACCGGGACGAACACATGTCACTGCATATATACACCGTGACAAAGACATGTCAGTGCATATATACACCGTGACAAACACATGTCACTGCATATATACACCGTGACAAAGACATGTCAGTGCATATATACACCGGGACAAACACATGTCACTGCATATATACACCGTGACAAAGACATGTCAGTGCATATATACACCGGGACGAACACATGTCACTGCATATATACACCGTGACAAAGACATGTCAGTGCATATATACACCGTGACAAACACATGTCACTGCATATATACACCGTGACAAAGACATGTCAGTGCATATATACACCGGGACAAACACATGTCACTGCATATATACACCGTGACAAACACATGTCACTGCATATATACACCGGGACAAACACATGTCACTGCATATATACACCGTGACAAACACATGTCACTGCATATATACACCGGGACAAACACATGTCACTGCATATATACACCGTGACAAACACATGTCACTGCATATATACTATTATTATTATTATTATTATTATTATTATTATTATTATTATTATTATTATTATTATTATTATTATTATTACAAGTCACACTAACATATGAAGGTGAAGCAGCCAGGGGAGGGGAAGGGGACGAGACAGAGAGAGGAAGAAGTGAAGGAGTGGTATTAGCTGGTAGTGGAAGTAGCAGTGATTGATAATAGTAAGTAGTGGTATTAGTGTAGTGTCACTAGTTAATGGTCCAAGTCGGGCAGAAACGTCGTCGTAAGTTTTACTCTCCTATGTGCGGGTTATTTGTGTTTTGTTCCAGTCACGGTGAGGGGTAGGTGGACATACTTGGTAATGTTGAAGGTGGTGGTAGGTGGACATACTTGGTAATGTTGAAGGTGGTGGTAGGTGGACATACTTGATAATGTTGACGGTGGTGGTAGGTGGACATACTTAATAATGTTGAAGGTGGTGGTAGGTGGACATACTTGGTAATGTTGAAGGTGGTGGTAGGTGGACATACTTAGTAATGTTGAAGGTGGTGGTAGGTGGACATACTTGATAATGTTGAAGGTGGTCGTAGGTGGACATACTTGGTAATGTTGAAGGTGGTGGTAGGTGGACATACTTGATAATGTTGAAGGTGGTGGTAGGTGGACATACTTGGTAATGTTGAAGGTGGTGGTGGGTGGACATGCTTGGTAATGTTGAAGGTGGTGGTGGGTGGACTTACTTGGTAATGTTGAAGGTGGTGGTAGGTGGACTTACTTGGTAATGTTGAAGGCGGTGGTAGGTGGACATACTTGGTAATGTTGAACGTGGTGGTAGGTGGACTTACTTGGTAATGTTGAAGGCGGTGGTAGGTGGACATACTTGGTAATGTTGAAGGTGGTGGTGAGTGGACTTACTTGGTAATGTTGAAGGTGGTGGTAGGTGGACATACTTGGTAATGTTGAAGGTGGTGGGGGGCGGACATACTTGGTAATGTTGAAGGTGGTGGTAGGTGGACTTACTTGGTAATGTTGAAGGTGGTGGTGGGTGGACATACTTGGTAATGTTGAAGGTGGTGGGGGGCGGACATACTTGGTAATGTTGAAGGTGGTGGGGGCGGACATACTTGGTAATGTTGAAGGTGGTGGTAGGTGGACTTACTTGGTAATGTTGAAGGTGGTGGTGGGTGGACATGCTTGGTAATCTTGAAGGTGGTGGTGGGTAGACATACTTGGTAATGTTGAAGATGGTGGTGGGTGGACATACTTGGTTAATGTTTGAAGGTGGTGGTAGGTGGACTTACTTGGTAATGTTGAAGGTGGTGGTGGGTGGACATACTTGGTAATGTTGAAGGTGGTGGGGGGCGGACATACTTGGTAATGTTGAAGGTGGTGGTAGGTGGACTTACTTGGTAATGTTGAAGGTGTGGTGGGGTGGACATGCTTGGTAATGTTGAAGGTGGTGGTGGGTGGACTACTTGGTAATGTTGAAGGTGGTGGTAGGTGGACTTACTTGGTAATGTTGAAGGCGGTGGTAGGTGGACATACTTGGTAATGTTGAACGTGGTGGTAGGTGGACTTACTTGGTAATGTTGAAGGCGGTGGTAGGTGGACAT